TGTGCTAAAAGAATTGTATTGAAATTTATAGTTCATAAGTAAAAAGAAAAGTCACCAATGCCAAACAATTGCTGAACAGTTATTTAGCTAGCCAGTAATGCAGCTTCATGGAACAAGCCCAAGGAGCTTATTTGACATGCTTTGTTTGTCAAAGCCAGCAACAATATCAAAAGCGACAGCTCGGCTTGTAGATCCTCAAACTGCTTCCTGATTTCTATGGTTCTGCAAAGTGGTTGGATTGTCAGCAACAATAAAATTCTCTAAATCAATATATATATCTATATCCTCATTTATTTATCTTCCTGAATGTAGGAACAGCATGTTAAGAAGACCACTAAAGACAAATAATTAGAAGGGAAAACATTTATATAAATAGAAAGCACACAGATGGCAAAAGCCAGCTGTAAGACCTCAACATTATTCCACAAACTTTGGCTTTGGATCCACAAGGAAAATGATCTAGCTGACTCAAATAGTGTTTAAGAGTGGAGCACATGAAAGCATCACACACGCACTATCACACACGTCTCTGTCTTGCAACACCTTTCCAGCAACATTCACATTACATTTATGTGCTACAACAGAAAAGCTTTTCCATTTGCATTTTGAAGTTTTGAAAACAGACAGTGTTATCTAAACAAGCCCCTTTCATATGGATCAGTGAAAATGACTAAAAATCGTGTATTACTGCCAGGCCAGAAGATGGCGATGTCATGTCCTCTCACATATACATTCCTCTACAGAGCTTAAATACAATCAAGAATGAACATGTTTTTAAAAATTCAATGGTTTAGATGATAAAAACTTTCTCTTTGAAACCTGTTTTAAAGATTTGTGTTTCCAGGCCCTTAACATGGTCTAAAAACATTTCCACATTGTGTAAATTCTCCAAGACCTAAAACACACAAAGAATATGAACACCCAGACTTCCCTGAGCCTGATCCTCAGTCAGATTTCATTGCATAACAGATCCTCAAATCTTTCTCTAAATACTCTCAGGCAGTCTTATATGTTGGGCTCGAATAAATTTAGTCACTGAAACATTTAAATTAGACAACTGACATCCTAACTTATGAAACTACAGTGTTTGAGCTTTTAAATGAGGCACACAAAGAGTCTTCCTGCATCATTCAGAAAGTCTTGATTGGGTTCTCAAACTCAACCCACGTGGATAAACAGGAAATGGCACGGTTGCGGGATATGATGTATAAGGGATCTCGTGGACGTGTTTATTGTTTTAACTCATAAGGTGCAGATTGATGATGAACAGAGAGCTCTTTTGGACGCTGACTAATGGAGCTCTAGAGACGAGAACTCCTGATGAACTGTGGAGATCATGGGACATAAGTTAAACCATTAGGGAGTTGTTGCTGTTCCTCGGCCAGTCTTTATCTTCTCCAGCCTTTTGGAGAGGTGGCTGTTACTGGACTCCAACTCTTCAATCTTATCCAGTGCAGATCGTAACTGCCATGTAAATAAAATCCATTAATTGTGTTTATGTCAGATGTTGTCAGTTACTTTGACTATACCTGAATTATGTGACTATTGTACCTCTCGCTGCAGTTTGCGTTTTTCAGCTTTGAGCTCATCCTCCACCTTCTCTGCATTTTCAGATGCAGCTTTATACCGGCTCACCTGACCCTCCAGCCTTGTGACCTACATGGGTTCATTTAAAATCACGCAAGATGTCATTTCACTTTTTAAAAAGGGGTAAAGATTTTTAAAATACATTAAAATAACTCACGTTCTGTTCAAGAGCTGTGATTTCTTGCTCTGACTTGACAAGCTTAAATTTGAGGTCATTGACTTGCCTGATGGCATCCCCTGAAACGAAGAACAGTTAAACATTTCTCAACATCCAAGTTGCAGGTCTTAATTGCTCTCTTTATTTTGAGCTGAACATACAGGGTACACAAATTATCATGGGCCCATTTAGACATTCTGTTAACAGAGTACCACTCTAAACAATGACTCTCATACTCTCATATACAATCTAATCAGAAAAAAAAGAATAAATATACTGTGTGTGTATATATACACACACACACATACACACATACACACACACACACACACACACACACACACACACACACGTATTCATTCATTTTTTTCTTTGGCTTAGTGCATAGGTCTTAAACTCGATTCCTGGAGGGCTGACGCTTTGCACAGTTTTGCTCCAACCCTAATCAGACACAGCTAATCCAACTGATCAAGGTATTCAAGACTACTAGATACTATTAAGCAGGTGTGCGATGGAGCTGGTTGAAGCTAAATTGTGCAGAGTTGTGGCCCTCCAGGAATTGAGTTTGAGACCACGGGCTTAGTCCCTTTGTTCATTAGGGGTCACCACAGCAGAATGAACCACCAAATCCAGAATATGTTTTCACAGCGGATACCCTTCCAGTTGCAACCCAGTACTGGGAAACATCCATACACACTCATTTACACTCATACACTACAGCCAATTAAGCTTATTCAATTCACCTATACCACATGTCTTTGGATTGTGGGGGAAACCAGAGAACCCAGAGAAAACCAACTGGACATACAAACGCCACACAGAAATGCCAACTGGCCCAGCCAGACTCGAACCAGCGACCTTCCTGCTGTGGGGCGACAGCGCTAACCACTGAGCCAACGTCAGAAAGTACAACATCTACTAACTCTAACTGTCTAGCAACACTTTATTAAGGGTGTTGGGTCTTTAATCAGTAGGTCGTGTATATGAATTAAGGCAATGGTAATGACAGTTTGAACCTTCACTCACTACACATTGGGACACTGAGCATAACATGAAAATATCCTCATTGTCCAACAGCAAAATTAGAATTTATAAACAACAGCAAACTGATATTTTTTTAAATATATATATTTAAAAGTACATTACAGATAAATAAATATATTGTTTTATGTTCTGAAAAAATGTATAAATTATTAATTGTTAATGATTGTACTGTAACCATTTAACTAATTAAATAAAAATAAAGTATTTCCAAAAATAAACAAGTCATTTGTTGTTTAAGTTGGTACACGTGATGCATATTTTGTGCTTCAGAAGCTTTCAGGAGTATAGTGAACATCAGTGCTCCCTGATTTTCACAGTACATTGGAGGAACCTAATCAGGGTGTGTACGTTTTGGTGCACTACAAGAGTTTTGTGATTGAGACAGCCCTTGATATGGCTGAACCCCCGACTGAACATTGGAGCTGACTCAGACGTACCATAAAACTTTAATGGGAATTATCTGACTGATTAACTAAAGTCCAGTAAAAGTAAATGATGATCTCCAACCTATGCCATATCAAGATATAAGAGATGGTAAGCAAACTATATATAAGCAATGTGATGGATGCAGCAGGAATGGGCAGAAATATTCAAGTGACTCTGACAAATGGCAAATATTTTTAGAAAGAAAACTGGGTCAGTGTCTGTTAAGCAGTAAGGTTTGCGTTTAGCTCCCAGTTAGCAAGGGTGAGAATTGTCGAACGGCGGTCTGAGCAGGGACAAAAAGGCAACAAGGTGTTAGGCACCAAAGGATGATTATTTCATATCCAATGGATCAAAGGCATCTGATCCAGGCAAACAACCATAGAATGCAGCTAAAATGAGCATGTTGGTGTTGGGCATGTCAGTAGACTTTGGAGTAGTGGGTGAAGGTGGTGTAGTCAGAGGAGTCCGGTTAACTTTTACATCATCATGACATACAATTGACCAACGATGACTGTATCCCACAACTCACAAATCTATCACTAATATCTTAGTAGCAGATATTAATTGACCCCTGAGGTGTTGCGCTGGAGAACCAACAGCACATTAGACATTGGCCTATTGGTAGTCTATTTGCAAAAAAGTTACTTCTAGTCAGCAGAATGCCAACACAACATCATGAAGAAACCAAGAAACATTTCCCAAACTTGTGCCCTGGCGAAAAGTAGTAGGCAGTTGCTTACTCTGTAGATCCATGATGTTGGAGTCAGCACCATTCTCCATCACATCTCCATCTGGGCTGGATGAGTTCTCTGTGCCATTCTTTGGTTTCTTTTGCTCTAGTTGACCTTTTAATCTCTTTACCTGAAACAAACACACAAACAACATTCTAGTAAGTACACAAGATAGGTGTGAGTCAGTGTACACTAAGTAACTGTCAGAAACACACCTGCTCTATCAAGTTCTCTCTTTCGTCAACCAGTTTCCGTAAGCGAATTTCTGGAAAGAAAAACAGGTTAAATGATGTAGGGGTATAGTATAGTACAGTATAATATAGTATAGCATAGTTTACAATAGTATAGTATAAGAGAAAACTATTTCATTTTCTTGCAGATTTGCAGCCACAAAAATCGAACCACTTTTGTGTACATTTGTACTTACATTTGTGTTGTGCTACAACTTTAATAACATATGTAATTGTCTTCTGCAATAATTAAACATTACATTGTGGTAAAAAAAAAAAAAACTCCAAGGTTAGACAGGAAAAACTTTCACATACCAGGGGTGGGAGGAGCCAAATGCATGGAGTGGGAGGAGTCAGGGCATGCAAGAGTGAAGCTATCCTATGCTGGGATGTGAAGGATGAGTATGGACAACATGCAAACACTTCAGCAACCTGAGAGGCTTCAGCCTGATGCAATCAAATCTCTGTTTACACAGTATGTACATTCAGTTTTTCAGTCATTTACAGTTTACTTTAAGACTTTAAAGAAAAAAGTAATATTGTTTATATACGTAACTGTCCCTAAATATTATATTTATATAATAAAAACTGATTCAGTTAGCTATGTTTTAATTATGAATGAATATTCTTCTAAACAATGATTAATCAAATTATTGATTGTTACAGCATACATAAACATTTTTCCCCATTAAGATTTACTTTCACTGATAACTAAGCATGCACTATGCAGGCCACAATGTTCACAAAACAAAATATCTTATTTGATTTCAAACATTTCACCTAAAAAATAAACTAAAAAGACAAAGTGTAACCACAAAGCTCCAGTCAAGTTCTTATAAGGTTGGCACACAACCATATTTTTATTTACCCCATTATGAACAACAGTCCACCCTTTAAAACAACATTCAAAAGATCCAAACATCACTGCAGCATTAACAGAAAGGTGGGAATTTACCAAACAGAAAAATCACATATTACTATGAGAAAATGTTTATTCATTGCTTTGTAAAATTCAAAATAAATATGACACTTTACAGTCATTACTGCTAACATTTAATGTGCTTTATTTAGAGGGTTGAGTTTGTGTACATTCAATATTTTTGATTAGATGTAAAACATTCATATATAAAATATGTTTGATGAAACGGCAATAATGACTGCTAATTAGACTTGACTGTAAAATAACTTTGGTTTTCAAGGCTTCTCAAAAGCAATGGTCCCAAAAAAATCATTAAGACCTATAACAAGTGCAATGCATCGAATGGAAGGTGCTGAGAAAAGACTTTCAATTATTCATTTGTGTATTACGACATTTTACAATCTTCTTTCCCCTTGCCCTTCCCTTTCCCTTTTGCACTTTTTCTAGATTCTCTGCTTTCATCTTCCTTGTTGTTCCCAGTGATTTCCTTCTCTAATTTTGGATCCCCTGAAATCACTGACGCCTGTTTTTTGTGGGGAATGGAACTACTGATCTCTTGGCCTACTTCTCTTTTCTCCTTGTCAGACATCAGATTAACTCTTTCACTGACTGGCACATCTACTAATGCCTTCTGATGCTCCTCAAAAGTGTCTTCTTTATTTGCAGATGTATTGTGCTGCTGACTGAGAGGACTGACGTCACAATTGATCAGGCTTTTCTCTGTTAAACATCCTTCAACATCTCTTGATTGCATGTTTTCTGTGTCATGTCCATCATCTTTCTGCTCATGTGGCTTTGATTCCTGATCTGCCAGTTGTAGATGTTCATCTTCTTGAGTAAGATCCTCATCAATAACATTGCTTTGGTTTTCTTGACTGGCTTCTTGGACATTTTCTTTTAATAGAGTAACTTCCTCCTTTAGTTTGTCTAGAGATTTTTTCAGAGGGCCATCTGATGATACTTCAAGATCTGTTTCATCAAAATCAAAAGATTCTCCTTCGTCTTCCTCATCAGCATCTTCTTGCTTGTGCACTAGACCAACCACATCTAACTCTATCAAAAGGTCATTGTCATCTTTAGGCAGTTGCCCATCAGGTGTAACCAGACCTTGGATTGATATTTCTTCCTCGACTTTTTCTACCATTGAATTTTGGTCAGAAGGTTCCACTGATTCCTGATTTGCTTCATTGGTGAACAGATTATCATCTTGCACAACCTGAACTTGGGTTTCAATGAAAGGACTATAATCAACTTTGCTTCCAGCAAACACTTCTTCTTTATGTGCTTCAAGGTTTTCTTTATCTAGTTCACCTTGTTCCTTTTCTTTGCCCACTTCTGACTGAACGCTGTCTTGAAGTTGACTGTCCATTAGCGGATCAACAGTTTGTTCCTGCATCATTAGTTCAGCTTTGTTTTCCACATTCTCCATCACATGGAAATCGAATTGAGCAGAGGCCTCTTGATCTTCAGGGTCACAAATCCTATCAACATCAACATTTTGGGGACTTGGCTCTTCATCACATTCCAGATCAACTTTCTCTTCTTTGGCATCCACCAACAAGGTCTTGTTGTTCTCAGAGGTGATGGGCCCAACTGAAGGTTCATGGCATGAAGCCTCCATTTCTGAAGACTTAAGCTCACTGCAAGTGATTGCAGGCTCTAGGGAAGAATTTGCTGAATCCTCAGCACGCTCCTCAATAATGGTTGCAGGGTCAGAGATAATAATGTTGGATGGATCATCTGCGGTGTTGGTGATACTATCATTTGAAAGATCATCTGGAGTGTTGGTGATAATATCGCTTGACAGATCGACTGAAGTGTTTGTGATAATATCGTTTGACAGATCATCTGCAGTATCAGAAATAATATTGTTTGACAGATCATCTGCAGTATCAGAGATAATATTGTTTGACAGATCATCTGCAGTATCAGAGATAATATTGTTTGACAGATCATCTGCAGTGTTGCAGATAATATTATTTGATGGATCATCTGTGGTATTGGAGATAATATTGTTGGATGGACCTTCTGAAAGGATGTCATTGCTAGATTCAGAGCAATCAAAATTTGAGATGGATTTAGAAATTTCTGCTGAATCAACTTCATCTGTAACTAACTGAACGCCGTCATGAACATCATCCACAACAGTATTTGTGGCTGCTACTTCAATACGGTCCTGTCCTTTGGTAGTTATATCACTACATGAGCTGGCTGGAAGGTCTGCATTCATTGTTGTTTCAGAAACAGCATTCGCTAAAGGTTCCTCATTGGTTCCTTCCAGAACACTTTCCACTATTTGGTTTGAATTATCCTCATTTAAAACCTCCATTGCTGTGCCACTCTCCTGCTTGTCACTTTGTTTTTGCTTTTGCTTGTTCTTCTTCTTCTTTTTCTTCTTTTTATTTGAAGCACTGGTAACTTGAGTTTTAGGAGGTTCCTCCATTTGAGATGACTCCACAGGCTCCTCTTTGCATTGTTCATCAAGTACTGCCTCATCAGGTTTATCAGTTTCATCATGCATTGTATTAGAGACAGAATCTAAAGGAGCTTCCTCTTTGATTTCCTGACTTGAGTTGACGCATTTGCTTTCTTGTTGCTCGGTCTCCAAATGTTCACCCATACAAACTTTGCGCTTCAATTCCACAGCATTATTTTTCAAATCTTTCAGTTCATGCTCCTCAGATTTGACCTCCTCCTTGGGTGCTGTAGCGGTGACTTCTTCATCACCAACAGAACTTAAAGGTTCTTCAGTTCTATTTTCATGCTGCCCTACACCTGGAACCACAGAGTCCCCAAGGACACCATTGTCATTTGCCTCTAACGGTGGGTTAGTAGAACTGAATAGGGCATTTGAAGACTGCTGATTTCCTTGCACCTCATCATCCAAATATTTTTGTTCCTGGTCTTTATGCTTCAACTGATGAATGCCTGGGAGATGATTGAGGTGTCAGTAGTTAAAGCCAAAGAAATGTGTCTGTAGAAGACAATCAGTATCTTGCAAATGTTTAGAGCGAAAAGTAAAAGAAAGAAAGGTGGAGAGAAAATGAAGACTCAAGAGCAAAGTTCTTAAACCGGTCCAAATCAAATGCACTGAAGCATGACTCAAAGCAGAAAACCCCACAGTTTAGAAAAAAACCTCACAGTTCGGAAAAAAAAAAAAAAAAAAAAAAAAAATATATATATATATATATATATATATATATATATATATATATATATATATATATATATATATATATATATATATCTACTTCTGATTTTAAATCAAGTCTTATGAAAATTTACAGCATTAAAAAATTATTTGTTCAGCATAGAACTGGACAAAATGGCTTTAAAGACATGACCTACTGTAGCATTTACTTTCATTTCATTGTCAAACTGCCAAATATGTAAAGTGGAAACAGTGAAACAGCAAAATGTGGGAGATGTTAATAGGGCAGTGGAATTGTAGCAGGCTCATAGAAATGATTTTGTTAGACTTCCCTCAAGCTCCACAAAGTGCAAATGCAAAGTTGCAAAGATAAAGAAATATTAGCATGCAATGGATAAAATTAAGAAAAGTGGCTTACCTAGTACACTACTTCCCTCTCGAATTTCAGCTGAGGCTGTTTGAGAATTCGGATCAGCATTTCCAACTTCATCCCCCGTTTCTCCATTGGTGACTAAATCAGGTCCAAGGACAATGCCATGTTTCTGGACAGAAAAAAATGTATTAATCAAATGCTTGATTACAGTTAAATGTAAACACACTGGGCTTTTTGTTGATGCACTAATCTTGTCATATATACAGAGGCAGAGTGTTAATGAATCAGTCTTCAGTCAGATTTATAATACATTCTGAATCTTTCGATGACTATTTTTATATTAACTGAATAGCATCAAGACAAGAGACTGAATCTAGGGAAATGTCAAAATCAAATAACATGAATCTTGTTTTGTTCTTTTAGGAACTGTTGTTGAAAAGCAATTCCAGTTTTCACCACACATATCAATACCTTCAAAACATCTTTGAGCTGAACAACCTCATCTCTGAGCTCATCCCGCTCATTTCGAATGGCATCAGAGAACTCCTTCTGCCGCTCTAATGCCTGAACGGCAGCAGAAAGATTTGGCCAAGATACAGCAAGGAGGTGAAAAAGAAGGTGAAAGCAATGAAAAAACAAGTCTGCAGATGATGAGAACAGTTTGACAAAGAACAGACAGAAATAGCAGAAAACGACTAATCTACAACTACAGGTATATGTTGAAAGGTGAAATTATATTTTTCTCAAAAAATATATGTAGACTATTTTTTAGAGTTGGGACCTGAGGGATCATACCCCAATTTTTTTATTCTTCCACTCAATAGTTTCCTGGAGGTCAGAAATCTCCCTAACAAAGCCATCTTGCTTGAGTCGTAATTGACGAATATCCTAGAGAAAAATATTATGCATGGAAAAACACCAAACATGAAGAAAGTAGAGACATTGTTAAGGCAGATGAGGAAAAGCCAAGCATTTGAAAGAGACAAAAGTTTAAAAAGGCACAAATGCAACAGTACTCACAGACAGCAGTTCTTCACTCTGTTTCAGCGTCTCCTTCAATTCACTGAACTGAAACTGCAGTATACTATGAGCATGCTTCTCTCTTTCAAGATCCTAAAAAAAGATAAACACAACTCAATATTAAAGTTTCTTCAAGTTAAGTGCAAAATTAAAGTTTACATAAGCAAAAAGTTTCGAGCTTTGTTTTTTATTTATTTATTGTGGAGCAGTTTACATTGATTAATTGTTCATCACAAGACAAGTAATGTGTGCTAACAAAGTAAATGGTGTGAATTTTAAAATGGACTAATAAAAAGGAAAATAAACAAATTATATTTAAAAAATTATCAAAAACAATTAAGAAATTAAATTCTATTTATTTACACAAGTCAAAAGTTTGGGGTCAGTTTTATTTTTTTTTTATATTTATCAAGACAGCATTTATTAAATGTAAATTGTTTTTTAAAAATGTATTAACATTTTAAACAACTGCATTCTTATTGTATGTAGTTTCAAATGAAATGATTACTTCAGTCATTGTTGCTTTTATTACTTTTACATCAATAATAATAATAATAATAATAATAATAATAATAATAATTCTTATTACTATTATTAATATAGAGTGATTTCTGGAGGATCATGTGACTGATGACTGGAGTAATGAAGCTGAAAATTCTTCTTTAAAATCACTGGAATAAATGATTAAATTAAATGATAAACTACTTTTGAACAGTTATTTTATAGTGCAAGAACATTTCACCATTTTACAATTTGTACTGTATTTTTTATAAAATGAATGCAGCCTTGGTGAGCATGAGAAGCTTATTTTAAAACATTTTTAAAATCCTACTGACCCCAAACATTTGACCGGTAGTGTAGCTATTAATTTCTTATTCACCAATACATTACAACAAACCAACTTACTATAGGGAACACTGACTGTACAGACCTTAATCTTTTCCTCCAGCTCACGCCGAGTTTCAAAGAGCATCTCCTCCAGTTCCATTAAAGAGTCTCTTAAAGTGTCCACTTCATACATCATGTTGGTCTTCTCATTGTCCAGCTGTGCATTGGACACCATGGCCTTACGGTACTTCTCCTCAACCTCCAATAGGGAATCCTTCAGGGAGTTGAACACCACATTAAAATAATCCATACCACAAGCACAAATTACAATACTCAACTATTAACCACAAAACTATTTTAAACTACCTTATAAAGCATTGAATAACAATGTGTAACAAAGATTGAAGCAAGGCAGAGAAATCAGAGTATAAGATTATGATCATGCAAGACAAGAGTCAGATAAGAGCCAGAGCCTGCTATAATATAATCTCATCACGGTTCCATTCAAACATTTTTTTGTTTAAATGTGTTGTTGTTCAGGTTCTAGCTTGGCTTTTGACTGCCACTGCTTTTACCAGAGGTATACCTTTAGCTCTTTAAGGTTCTGCATGTGCTTTGCCTCCACATCATGAATCTGATCCTTAAGCTCATGGATCTCCTGAATGAAAAGCATGAAGAGTATGGATGAGGAGGAAGGACAGAGACTGCAGCAGAGAAAGAGTAATGGAAGAGTAAAGTACGCCATTTTCAGATGAATGACTGCAAGCTGGAGAAAATAACAGTGAAGCAGAGAGTAGATGGTGCTCAGTCCTGCACTTGTAAACAATAAACATTTTGGTTGGCTGGTCCAAGCATGTTAGATTAGAGATAATGGCAGGTCTCATTAGGACTGAGCAACAAATTTGCTTTGAAGAAGCTAAGTGATAAAAAATAAGCCATTAATTCTTATTATATTCAATTATACAGTATACAAGTACCAATAAAATTGATTCCTTATAGTTGTAAAAAAAAAACTATCTGATAAAAATTGCATTATTTGGGCATATAGCTGCATAATAGTTAGATAGCTGAAGATTTATGGACAATAATATGCATGCGTAATGTATTCTGAAGGTTGCCAAATTGACAGTTTAAAGAGCCCATAATATGGGTTTTTGAAAATGCCCCTCCATGTAGTGTGTAACACAGCTCTAAGTGAAGTGAAATATCCAGCTGAGGCTTAAATCTGTAAGAGTACAGTGTTTAAAACTGTTGATTCATCTATAAAAGAGTCGACTCATAGTGCTTCAAACGAGTCGCCTAAATACCGAGTCATTAGGTGTTTCGCCATGACATACGAACGAAACCAAGTTATTCACGTGCACGCGCAAACCCAGGAGATTTGAAACCTGCGGCCCCGCCCTCTGACACAGAAACCCACACACACACACACACACACACACAAACACAAACACAAACACAAACACAAACACACACACACACACACACACACACACACACACACACACACACACACACACACACACACACACACACACAAACAAACAAACATGCCGGTCGATTGAAGTCACACTGCAGATGGATATTATTGAGTCTCTACCCAAAGATGAAACCTCAGCATAAGCCCAGCTTTAAGCAGTTGGAAACTACTGGAAACTTCTGGAAACTACATGCTACAAAGAATACTTCGTTTGTTAAAGGAAGGATCAGTAAAGACATGTCAGGACATGCATCGGTTTCTTCCTCCATTTCTCAAGTGTAAGTACGTGCGATTAAAGTTGTTGCCTCGTTTACTCTAGCTTGCAAAAATGTATTTAGTTGTGATTTGTTTCTTGTAACCGTGTGTACTGTCTCAGATTAACTTGCTATATTAAAAAAAATATAGCAAGTTAATGCTAAAGCCACGTTAAAAACGTGACGCGTGCTGCTTTGTTTACGTTCCCGTGGAGGAGTGTAATGTGTGTGTGTGCATGCGTTGCCGTCCTGAGGAGAACGAGAACGAGGGCAATATATGTGTGTGTTTGCGTGCGTGTGTGTGGGCGCCTGCAATATTTGTGTGTGTGGACGCGTGTGCGAGGACGAGGGCAAAATGTGTGTGTGTCTGTGAAAAAGGCAGAATGTGACAAGCTAGGAGATCTCCTCGCCAGTTCTTGGGAGTTTTTGCTCAATAAAATAGTTAGTCGTCTGCCGTTACAATTATCCACTGGCAGCTAAACTCCACGCCTTACACTATCGAGCGTTTATACACTCTGACGACTTCTATATTGCTGATTAGCTGCTGGCTATTCACTCTGTCTCTGGCTGAAAGCAGTTAGTGTCGACCATTCGCAGCAGACTGTCATCGGTCCAATCAGCGCAGATTAGCTTCGCGCTAAGGAGGGGTTTGGGAACAAATGAATCACTGGACGATTCATACAGGAGTCGCTGGGATAATTAGGTAAAAATAAATGCAGATTATAAGACCATGAAAGTGTTTTTTGACCTTGCATGCATATTAGACTTTTGTCGGAGACCCTTACAACCAAAATATGACCCTATTTCATGAATAATATGGGCTCTTTAAATAGATTTGAGATGATATAAAAAAAAATCCCAGAACAGTAAACATTTATTTTAACATCTGGATGTGTGCATGTGAAAATGCAAAACTGCTAAATATTTGTCATCGCATCACATTCACTTATGAATGAACTGCTTGACTAATTCATTGAAAATGTTCATTTCGAATCATAATTTTCTTAATTTCTGTCGCACTTTCAGTAGCTTGCATCACGGTTTTAAATGGCAGTTAAACCTGGTCGACATGCAGTCTATAGAACTTGTAGTCTATAGAATGTCTAAATACAAATCTCCTTCAAGTGTGTGGTCTGCGTAGAGTAAACAGTGAAACATATGATAAAATCATGGAATGATACCATGTGATTTAATAAATGTCCTGACAAGAAAAAGAGATCAAAACACACCTTGATTTCCCGTATGGAGGCTTCTGTGTCGGCAGAGATGGACGTATCTCCACTCCCTCTCCGTGAGGACGTCCCACCCAGAGAGGTGAGGGTGGTGCCAGATATGGTTGATGCTCGTGAGGAGCCCTAAAATACAGGTCATAAGCCCTTAAACGAAAACATGCTTAAATGGTGAAACATTTACATGACAAAAAGAAAAATCACAAACCTTTTCCAAGTAGTCACGCTCTAACCTGTCATCAGCCTGTAAATAAACAACAAAAAATCCTGTATTCACTAAATGTAATTTGTGCTGTCCAGCGAAGATACGCTGTCAAAACAAGCAGTTAGTAAAATCGTTTATTTATTAGGTGAAAAAAAATCTGTTAATTTGACATTCAGAACAATTAGAAAATATATGGATAAAAACACTGATCAAAACACAACCAGCAAACAATTCTTTCATAATCCATGACCTTGCAATTATAAAGTTTGGATATGCTGGTTTATATATGTGTAATAACAATAGATGTCATTTTCTAATACATGCTGACCTAATGTTACAACAGGTATTTAAAGCAAATACATGACTTAATAAATCAAAAATATGTGACAAATATAAGTGTTTTAAATAACTGTTTGTGTTTTTTGAAAAATACTGCTTTCAATAATGCAACCTTTCAACCTTAAGAACCTGTTTTTATTTTAAAAAGGTTCTGTCTGCTTTTAAACTGTTCTGGAAATCCTCACAAAATGGAGAGAATTTTAATATTGTGCATTTAGAATGCATATTAAGTGCCAATGATTATCAATAAGATTAGTTAGGGGATGCAAAAACTTTAAATCTCAATTTCTCAAAACTGCTCAAAATGAAGAATAAATTTTACAATTCCAAGGTGGTGAATTCGCAAGTTGTGACAAAAACTTAATATAAACAACTGGACATTTCCATCAAGCAAGGGCACTTCCGTGGTAGTAGTTTTCACATAAAATCGATTACCTGAAAAAGATCACTGACTGTATCACATGCAGACATCAAATCAATCCAGCATGCTACATTTTAAACCAGGGCATCGACCACAACAGATAACATGAAACCCAAGATTTGACTTTCATACCAAGGACATCCTCCCATTAACATTTGGCAAGTCAGGGATGATGATGTTGTCAAGATCTCTAGAGAGGCCACTTATACTGGCTGTGCTGCGCTTAAAACTAGCCACTGAACTGCTGCAGTCCTCCTAAAACCCACCAGATGGCGACAGTTAACATCAATGTTAGAGGAATGTCAGCTATTTATGAAGTCTCAACTGTCCAAGTTTAACAGTTGGCTTTTTGCTTGCACCCAACAAAGGAATGCACACAAACACACACACACACACACGAACATCACCTTAAACGTCCTTTTATACATCAATAATGCTAAATGTTTACCCATGAACACAGAGGATAAATGCATATCCATGACTCAATTGTCAACAATCAGTGAAAGCACACCAGAATTATGACTGTTAAAAGTAAAAGTCCCATGAATTGGATACATGCAGCTTTAACTAAACGGTTCACTGTGAGAAAGTAACTGATTGTGTTGGTCCATGATCCTCCAGGTAATCGAGATGGAGGTGCTCACCACTGGGCTTCCACACGCAGAGTTTGCCCTGGATGAAGTCCTAGAGCTGGAGCCCAGAAAGCCACTGTACTCAGACGACTACGGGAACATACACACACACCATCAGAACATAAAGAATTGGAGAGAGAAAAGAAATGAGCAGCAAAGGCCTCATCCAAAAGGAGATTCAACCAACTCTAAGTTGATTTATCCCAAGATGGGAAACTCTGGCTTTTAGGTTTCAGAAAAGCTTATTTGAGTTAGTTAATTTAACTCTGAGGTAAACCCATGCATCCTGACAATACAAAACCATGGTCAGTGGATCTCCAATTTGATAAATCACCATTTGTATCCAAAAAAAGAGGCCTGCGTGATTTTCCCTAGTAGAACAGCAACTATACAGTGACATAATTTAATAATATTTTATAATTAATATTTTAATATTTAATAATAATTCTGAAACAAAGTAGAAAAAATAGTTATCTGAGAAGGTTGCTATATATAGTTTTCACGTTTTCACCTTTCTGAAACCTTTTTTTTAATAAAAATGAATAGAGGTCTGATGCAGTCAAATCACATCTACAACCATTTGTCAATCAATCAATCAATCAATCAATCAATCAATCAATCAATCAATCAATCAATCAATCAATCAATCAATCAATCAATCAATCAATCAATCAATCAATCAATCAATCCTACCATTAGTACAAATCTAATAAAGCCCACACACCAGAAAATTGCTGGTTATTTTTATGTATTTAACTCATCAAAAACTGTATGTTCATGATCCTTGAATTGCATCAACATAAATTTATAATTAAAAGCTCACACTTGTTAATGGTTATGAAACAGAATCCTCAGAAACAGGCTATAAATTTCATGCGCATTTAAGTTTAGCCCTGTCATTCTTACAGCACGAGCACTGGAGCGTCGAGAACCACCGTAGAGACTATCTTCATAAATAGAGCCCTGATGATGGACACACAACAGAAACAGCATTACTATCACACATCGAGGTCTGACCCATAACCGCAAGCGAGCATGCACACAAACACTCTCCACAGTCTCACTTCTCCTTTAGTGCATCAGTACAGCTGCCTTTTATCACATTCAGATGACTCCATTAGATCTGATAGCTGTCAGTCTGGAGAGGAAGTATCTATGACAAGCTGTTAAAGATGAAGTGTGTCTTTTTTCTAAATATGTACACTCTCAGAAATAAAAGGTACATGGGCTGTCACTGGGGTTGTACCTTTTCAAAAGGTAAAAAGTTGTACATAAAAGGTCCAAATTAATATTTTAAAGGTACATATTAGTACCTAAATAGTACAAAAGTGTTCATCTTAAATTTTTTATGTACTAACATATACTATTTAGGTACCAATATGGACCCTTTAAGTACAAATGTGTACCTTTTGAAAAGGTATCACCCCAGTGGCAGCTGAGTTCTGAATATTTGTTTAATTCAAATGTAGTTTATGAGTGAGTCTGTGGGTGTTTCCCAGCACTAAATATTTACAATTTCACCTTTAAGAAAAGACACTTATGTCAAGGCTTATGTGATATATATACTTATAACCAGGGTTTTACATTATCACCCGCCAAATGCGGTTTGATTTCAGCTATGGCGGGTTAGACAGTCACTTCCACTAGCCACTTTGGCTGGTTGAAAATAATGTTTAAATTGTGGTTTTCAAAGCAGGGTTCGACTACAAGAATGACCCAATATGCGTGCAAATGTGATCTTAGAATGGAGAAGCAGCATGACTAACAAAAAAAAATTGCATTAGCGCGAACAGAAGAAAGCAGATGAATACCGAATGAGAGGATAATCACTCGCGCTAACAGCTGATGTGATGCGCGCGACTGTTTAATTTTGAGTTCTGAAAAGTCATGTAAAATAAAAACTAATTGCAGTATAACACTATAAAACCATGACCCATTTGCTCATACACGACACACAAAATGTGAAATGAATGAGGAGGCATGTGGACATAACACAAAATCTAAATCAAGTAATTTTAGCATGTCCAAGTCATATTTATGCATATAAAAATATTTTCCCAACAACAAAATTGTGGCTAGTGAAAATTCAGAGTGGCTAGTTACATTGGAAAACTACTAGCCACTGTGGCTGGTGATCAAAAAAAGTTCATGTAAAGCCCTGCTTATAACGATATATAAAGAGTTCAGATGCAAAAACCTCTTGGTGCTTTCTGAAACGTTCTTTTAAAATGAACTTTTTTTCTCAGCCTTCTATGTCTATAATCAGTTATTTCACATTAACGGCCATAAAAGTGAAAATACTTAACCTACACACAGATTTATTATTATTATTATTATTATTATTATTATTTATATATTATATTATTTACATGCATTTTTTGCATTTTATAGCTTGATTTATAAGAGTTTCTGATTGCATATTTCCAGACTTAGCCATGCAAGCATGTTTGTGTTTGCTGTGAAAAAGAGTGACGCTGCTAAAACAATTAGGAAATGATCATAGAGACTCAAAGGCAGAAAAAAAAAAATCAAACATTTCATCTTTCAAGTCTGACCAAGTAAAGTTAAGCAAAGTAATTATTGCAGTCCATGGGTGTCTGTGCAGGTGGGTTAAAGATCTAGTAAAACTAGATGAGCCACTGTGGGTAAGAAAGTGAAAGTATCTAAACGTGTGTAGAGTGGCACGCATTATTGAACAGCAAGTGCTGTGGGGCAGAAGGTAAAATAGGGAGCAGCACAAACCCTGTGCTTCCTGCTGTGCAGCAAAGACAGCTAAACAGACAGGAGAGACGAACATTTCAATTCAAATGCAGACCAAAAATATACAGAGGGTGGCAATGACAAGAGAAGGCCAACCAATAATGTACAGATTAGGATGGAGGAGAAAAGGGGGGGTTTTGAAGGCTGGACAGAGACTGAGTGAGATGGAGTGAGACAATGAAGATGACAGACCTGATTTCCATTGTAGGAAGGAACTTGATGTTTAGAGGAGTAACTACTGTTGCTGTATAGCTCTGAAGAATAGTAGGCACTCTAAAATAATGGGAAATAATGTGGAAGAATGAACGGTGATGAACTGATGGAGACAGGCGTATGAGCAATGTGAGTGATGGAGAGTTATGGAGAGAAAAGTTTTAAAACACTACAATAACACAATGCAAGAATATCATGCCAGATGAAGTCATATTATTTCAAAATGTTGACCCAGGCAAACTGATTAAACTATGGTTAATGTAATAATTATTGTATTTCATGATTAAGTGTTTATACATGACACTGTTCAAACAGTGAGCCTGTCTAATGATGAATTTAGTGCTGATGATTAAATGTGACGCTAAAAAAAAAAAAAAAAAACTAAATTATATTCTAACTAGTTAGTCTTTTAAAAATGTGACGTTTTATGATATGATGCAATATATGATATAATATGGATACGATGAAATATATGATATTATATATGATATGCTATGAAATATGATATGTGTTATAATTTGACATATGATATGGGGTGATGTAACATGATATGATATATGATAGGTACATATACAGTTGAAGTTGAATTATTAGCCGCCCTTCGAATTATTATCTTTTTTTTTTTGCTTTTTTAAATATTTTCTAAATGATGTTTAACAGAGCAGATTTTTTTTTTCTGAAGAAAATCTTATTTGTTTTGTTTCAGCTAGAATAAATGCAGTTTTTATTTTTTAAGCACCAGACAAAATTATTAGCCCCTTTAAGCTTTTATCCGATTGTTTATATCCGATTGTCTACAGAACAAACCATTGTTATACAATAACTTGCCTAATTACCCTAACCTGCCTAGTTAACCTAATTAACCCAGTTAAGCCTTTAAATGTCACTTTAAGCTCTATAGAAGTGTTTTGAAAAATATCTAGTCAAATATTATTTGTTGTGATCATGGAAAAGATCAAACAAATCGGTTATTAGAAATGAGTTATTAAAACTATTATGTTTATAAATGTGTCGAAAAAATATTCTCTCCGTTAAACTGAAAATGGGGAAAAAATAAACAGGGGGGGTAATAATTCTGACTTCAACTGTATATTGCAATTTGATCAAATAACCAACATTAGATAATTAATCAATAATAATGACAGGCCTAGTCTGTGCAATTTTGCAGTCTATTTGAAACCTCTTTTTGTGATAAACTTAGGTTTAAAATAAAAAGATTAACCTAGGGCAAAATTTTAAATGCAAAACCAATTACAATCTGGTAGCATGCATAATGTGTTAGAATCACACCTGAACTAGACATGCTATAATTGTTATTTTAAAAGTAGCTCAAAGCACAAGCAACAAAGTAAAAATATGTTGTTTAAAAAATGTTTCATCTCAACGCTTTATTGTTGTAAATAAATGCATATTTAAAAAAAAAAAAAATATATATATATATATATATATATATATATATATATATATATATATATATATATATATATATATATATATATTATCAGACATACTGTGAAAATTTATTGTTAAACATCATTTGGCAAATATTTAAAAAGAAAAAAAAAATCAAAAGGGGGCTAATAATTCTGACTTCAACTATGTACATAATAAATTAACCACAATAAAGTGAAAATAAAACTATACTAGAAATTACTAGAAGTATTTCAAAAAGAAAACTAAATACCAAACACCCATCATGCTTTCTTACAGACATTGGAAATGATACACTCATGTGTTATATATATTTTCATGTTAATCACAAAGTCAAGGTCAGAGGATGCGGAGGTAAAAAAGATGCAGGACTGAGACCCACCGACTGCAGATCAAGTCTAGAGGAGCGAGACCTTTTGCTCTCATCGCTTAGTCTGGAGCTCTGAGCACAAAATACACAAGTTTACAGACAGAAAAACTAAAACAATCTTTACCACATCACACTGCTGTTAGTCACACTGCTGCATCATGACCACTGTGAATCTCTAAATAAAACAACACAGCCTCCTGGATGTTATTATAGTTGAGCTAGTAAACACTCAAACCCCATCATCACACAGTTAATTAAGCCACTAACCCGACTAGACAATGTGCTGAGATCATCATCATAGCCATTGCTCTGCAGGAAAAACAGCACTTCGTGACTGATGTTACACCTTTTCGTTACAGAACATGTAAGTATAGTGCATAAGTGAAGTGAACATACGGTTTTAAAAGAATGTTTCTTCTTTTTCTTGGACTTCTTATGCGAGTAAGAAGAGGACGCCTGAGAAAGCCGGACAAGGATGTAAGATTAAAACGGCAGAAATTACAAGCTCAATTCTTCATGGTTTGTGTATATCGTGGCATGCAGGTGAAGATCCAGACACAACATAGACGTGTCTGTTAAAACCCAGACAACAGATCACCCTTCTTTGATGAAACACTTCAAAACACCACGAAAGGACCATTAGGTATTAGCTATACTTGGCTGCAACACACCACAGTGCAAAAACCCAAAGTCTTGTGAACTCAGTTATGTGTTCATCTCACAACAGGAACCTAAAAGTACTGACAATCATGCCTGAAGAAACATTTCCCACTCTCAATTTCTTACCACGCCGTAAGCACCAGTTGCATCCAAATCCAACTGCCCACACAAACAAAACTTCCATCAGTATAAAGAACAGTTTGGATTGTCTGACAATCACCAAAACCAGACTCTGAACCACAACACAGAAGATCAACTATGCAGTCACACTGATACTGACCCGTACGTTGCTTCTGCTCCCCACTGACATCCGTTCTTCATCATCTGACACCTTGATGAATAGAAAAAAGGTCAAATCAGATGGAGCAATAGAGTTAGCAAAGACGTAAACTAATACATATTCACCACTGTGCACCAAATTAATATGCATAATGAGTCCCAAAACACAAGTCTGACATCTCCGTGTAACTGTGTTTAGGGGGGAAAAAAAAATCAAAGCAAGGACGAACTTGGAGTGAAATGGTTTGCTTGAATAGTGTTGATAAAAGGGTTGAGCAGGACAGACAGAGAAAAGATGAGATACAAACCGAAGCATGTCTCCGTGAGACACGTGTATATCGCTCACTGTCTTCCTAAGAGAAGAGAAGAGAAGAGAAGAGAAGAGAAGAGAAGAGAAGAGAAGAGAAGAGAAGAGAAGAGAAGAGAAGAGAAGAGAAGAGAAGAGAAGAGAAGAGAAGAGAAGAGAAGAGAAGAGGGTATTAGGTAGGTCTTAGTTGGCAAGTTGGCAACAGAGACAGACACAAAACAAACAGCAAACAAGGTTGAGCAAATGTATGCAAAAAATTCATGCAAATATGTATTGACTGATGCAAGAGCAAACAGTTAAACCATAAACTCTAAACACAATGCTATAAAACCGGAAATAAATAAATGTGTGTATTTGAAGTTTCAGTGTGACAAATTTAGTCATAAAAACCCTTTTCACTTAATGTACATTTAAAAAATAAATACTCCTATTCAACAAAGATGCATTGATCCAAAGTGGAAGAAATTTCTGTTATAAAAATAGCTTTCCCCTTGAAATAAGTGTTGATTTTCACCTTTTTTACACTGAAAGATATTATATCTGAGCATATTCAAATTATTTTTGAAGGCTTGGGTGATGACTAGAATATTAGTGCTGAGATTTCCATTGTCTTTTTTTATAAAAGTATTTTTACCAAATAAATGCCTTGGTCAAAATAATAATAATAAAAAAAAAACTTATTTTACTTTTTATAAAATCTTGCAGACTCTAAATCTTAAATAATATAAATGACAAATAATAGAGTACTTAAAATATAAAAAGCTTGTTTTACTTGTTGACAACATAGAAGTATTAAAGGTGCAGTAGGTGATCTGCCAAAATGCTACAGTAGCCGGTCAGCTAAACATCTTTGAAACACAGTATCTTCCCTTCCGTCCAAAGCCACACCTCCTGAAACACGAATGAGCATCATAAAGATGACAGTAGCCAACCCACTAGTTTATGTCATTCGCCAGTTAGAAAACGTTATAGTCCTTTATAATACTACAACTTACAAAGAAAAACTGTATTATATCTAGCACCTTTTCAGTTGTGTAGCAAGCAAAACTTGTCATAATGTGCAATATTTAATGCAAGCAAGGATTACTAGTCTTACTCTCTCACGGGCTGTCCTAAAGCGACTACTGTATGCTTAGTTGGTGGCCGGCATGTAATAATTACACTTATTACTAAGCCATACTTGCATGCTATTTCAGACTAAATATTCAGAGTAGCATGGTGAAATATATTCACAGGTTGCCATTGTTCAAATATGAACCAATGTGAATATAAAACCAACTTCACCAGAGTAAAGCAAGCTTGGCGGAATAGCTCTATTTACTTATGCTTTGTTGTTAAACTAAATAAAAATGTACAATATCGATGCTGTAAAAGGTCCCTTATGAAATTAAAAATAGTCACATCAATCTTTTGCAGGAGTATTTCCGTGGCTGAACAACACTTCTGTGCATATAGTAAAACAACTAAATCGACATCAGCTTTGCGTGACTAAAGTAGTTTTAAAAAAGAACATTACCCTTCTAACATAAATACCTCAGCCATGCTGTCATCCTTCCTCCAGTGTGCAAAAGTAACATCAATATTGATTCAGGATCTTAAAATTTATGATTCAGCACTTGATTTCACCCACTGTAAATGTTGCATGTGCACATGAACTAGCGGCGCGCATGCACGTGCAAAAGGCAGATCTGCGTGAACGGATGCGCAGATGTACAAATCCACATTTGTTGACAGACAGTTTGAGCTACTTATCAGAATTCTGGGAGTTATCGGCCTGCCAATATTTAATTGGATTAACATTTTTTAATCTTATATCTTACCCAGAATATAAAAATACACATAAACACATTTAGATCATTTACTAATCATTACTATTGGAATGTGAAGAGACTTTCAACCAGCACAACAAAAAATGACTATCACATACAGCACCTTTAACCTAGATTTGCATTGTTGAGAAATGCAAACATGTGCTGATATGCAACATCTTAATTCTCCAAATTATTAACAGAAAAAAAATTTATGTCTCAAGGCATGATGTAGAAGAGGCATGCTAATAAAAACAGCAGATTGGAACATGCACAAAATCCTAACAGTGAATGTACCATCCACTGCTCAATGTCCCCCCATTTGTTGTCCAGGTTATCCAGGCCATAGTATTTCTAAAAAGAAGAAAATGCAGCAGAAACCAGGAAAGAGAACAAATATATAAGAGAGGTTTGTGTAACAAGAACGAGAAAGAGTTGAATAAACAACAACAACAGCAGAAAATGAATGAAACCTTGTACAGTTAATGTACAGGATCAAATATCCTACCTTCTGCACCTGATAAATCTACATCACAAGGGCCCAGCAAAAGTGAAGCAGAGGAAAGAGAAATGAGGAAAAAGAAAAGATATTGATTATTTGGCATGGCAGAGAAGTTACCAAGTGGAAGACTGTGTACACAAAGGCAGATGAATGAAAAGGGAAAGCTGTTAAAGATTAAGAGATCTGTTAAAGCCAGTGTCATGTTACCAGGCCTCACAGGTAGACTTACATATACAGTAAGGCAAACAACACCAGTTCTCATACTGGACTCAAAGAATACACAAATTCCACAAGGATCGATTGGCAGCAAAATTCAATGTCATGATAAAGCATTTTTATTCAATCATTTTAAAATCACACTGCACAGAAGCTTCTGAACTATGCCACTGAACTGTTCAAATAAGACTAAATGACATATCCATGAGTTAAAGAGGACCGTGTGTTCTGGGCTCAAGGTAACAAGATTGTTTTCGTTATTTTTAAAGGTTTAATTTAGTTCAATAGTGACCACTTAATGAAAAGCAGTAGAGGCGTATTTTACACTAACACATCTTCGCATTTGTTTCTGGCCATCACTTTTTCACGAATGAAAATAAAATCAAGAGAGAAGCTGAAAATACAAAAACTAAACTAATAGAACGGTTTCCTCACCAGATTCACCTGCCTCTAGGTTTTGACACCATCAAACAGTAGAAAATATTTGAAACAGCATAGGATAATGCATTTAATAAACAGATTATTTATGATCAAATTGCTTTTATCAAGAGCTTTAATCAGATTCTTTTATGCAATGCAGTGCAGTGCATTCTTTTGTGCGCACTCTCACTTAATGAAATGTCACCTAACTAGTTTCCCAACGTACATTTGTTTATTCATCCAAAAAATACTGTAACACAATCTCTTCCTTTTAGAAATCTCTACACCTTACTTAGCAAATTAGACATTTTACCGTCAATCCTATGTTTCTGCAAAACTCTCAGAGAACTACTCAAGGAATCTGAAAATCTTTTTAGTTTTCAAGTGTATGGACAGAGAAAAGGTTTAAGATGACTGTTTACTGCAAAGGCACAAATTAATACTCGTTTCAAAGTTTCTGGCACGCAAGCTTCATCCTGAACCAAATAAAAACTAACCCATGTGACCAAACACATAGAACTAGCTACTGCATCTAAACAACTATTTGAATAACACTTTCACTTCTCAAAGTCAACAGGTCATGAGGTTAAACTAGTATAATGCACTATATGTATCAATAAATCCGATACTTGTCTTTATCAACACATTAAGCCTTTCATTTCGTATTTTTTCAGAAAGCTGAACTAGAAATCTCGAGCTCACCTTCCTCAGAAGAGGGGTCTGGGGCTGTTTATTGATCCCTTCTCTAGCCCCTCTACGAAGTAGTCTTTTGCAAGCCATTGTGCTGGTCTCATAGTATCTCCATCTACCTCAATACTGAGGGAGACAGAGACTCTCTATGATCCCAAACATACAGTATGTCATTAAAAATACAAACTCTGTAGCCTGTTTGTGATAAAAGTCCATCTTCAAAGAGTCCAAATTCAATCCCTTAATATCTCAGTGTGTTCAAGTGATCTTGAGTGATCACCGCAATGATTATATCCAGTTAGTGAATGGGAAGTGAGTCTGTTAACTAGCTGCAGGTACGGAGCTGAAAGTCGATAATCTACTTTAAGACTTGGCTGGAGTTTTAAAGCCACAAAACACACACCCTTAACATTCTCACACACCTCCTGATCAGACTAAGCTTAGCTCTGAATGCTAGCTAAGCCCTCATGTGTGATCTGGGTATGTTTGAAGCCTGTGTTTATCTTCATTACATAATTTTTTTTTTTGTTTGTTTTTTTTTGCTTAAGGTAGAAAAAAAGATGTGTGGAGTTCTGGTTTTCTACTTTTCTTTGAAGAAACATTTCCTTTATATATTTAATTACAATCATTTACAAAGTCTGAAATAACCTACACTTCAGGTGCATTTATATAACTGAAAATGTTCCTTCATAAAATCCAGCTCTTTGAAATGACAAGGGTTCAATAAATGTTCTATTATAGCAATTAAAAAGCTGAAAAAACTAATTGTATAAAGTCTGTTTATAAAGATTAGCAGTAACTACTGTAACAGGGAATTGAGAATGTCCTAGATTATTATGCAGGCATTATGGGTAAAGTACAGAATCTGAGTTGTACTTCTAGGTAATATAACACAATAAAGCAAAAAGTCCTTTTTTTTCTCTTGAGTGTTAATGTGATTTAAACAAACTTATATATTTCCATTAAAAAAAAAGAAGTGATACAAGGCTGCCGTCAGAAGAACTCTCACTTGAGATTTTTCTGAGGGGTTTGTAAAGTGCTAAACAGAAGTTAACCAAATGTTCATTAACAAGTTACATATACATATACATATTTTTTGTTTCAAAATTCAAGTTTTTGATATTTTCAAAAAGTATCATGTTTACCACAGCTATTTTCTCACCACAGCCATTTTAGATGTTTTTATTTTGTTATAAGAAAAGTGCATATTCTTGGATATTCATTTTAGTACGAATTATTAGCCCCATTTATTTTCTTTCCCCAATTTCTGTTTACCAGAAAGAAGATTTTTTTTCAACACATTTCTAAACATAATAGTTTTAATGACTCATTTTCAATAACTGATTTATTTATAAATATAATAAATACAGCTTAAAGTGACATTTAAAGGCTTAACTAGATTAACTGGACAGGTTAGCGTAATTAGGCAAGTTATTGTAAAAGGATGGATTGTTCTGTAGACTATTAAAATTATATAGCTTAAAGGGGCTAATAATTCTGACCATAAAATGTTTTTTTTTAATTAAAAGCTGCTTTTATTCTAGCCAAAATAAAACAAATAAAACTTTCTCCAGAAGAAAAAATAATATCATACATACTGTTAAAATTTCCTTTCTCTGTTAAACATCATTTGGGAAATATTTAAAAGAGAAAAAAAATCAAAGTGGGCCAAATATTATGACTTCAACTGTAGCTGCGAAGGTTTTTCCAAATCCTTTTTTTTCTTTAAACCAAAAAGCTTTGCTGTAAATATACCTGAGGACAGTTTTATGGTTTATATTTTTTGCTTTGTTAAAAAAAAAAAGATTGTAAATTTGCCAAATTGTTGGCGATGTAACCTGTCATTTTTGTGAGCATTAGTTCAAACAGGTCTTGACCCATGGGTGATTAACTGACCCTGATCCCCGTAACCCAGCCAAAACATGTCCTTCACAGCACAAAGCCCACAATCATGATGAAGATTAAACAAATTGAACATAATTGGCTGACAGTGTTGTACTGGAGCAAGTCAACAAGACCATGACAAAGACTCAATTTATGAATAAAGAACTTTTCTACTGGCAATCCAAAAGCAAAACACCTTAATATTCAAAACATTCTGAGGCTAAGACTTGACAAATACTTGGAACCATTTCGGAAAATACCAATATGATTTTAAAAGCATTTTTAACACAATATGACACATTTTCGACATGTTATGTAATGCAGGTTATTTACTTTGTGAGATGCTGTCAGGGCTTAACCTTTGACTCCTGCTAGTGGTAAGTGTGGCTATAATGATCCTAGTAGGTGCATCTACTGCTCCCACAGGAGAGAATTAGATTTTAATTTCAAATTTCAATCTTACGCAGCATATCATGGCTACTGGTGTTCATTTAATAACATCGAAATACTGAAACAACACATTTAATCAGACGATTTGCTGAGCATTTTTTAAAGAAAGTTAGCATAAAAACATTTTGTGCATCTCTTCCTTTGAATGTAGTAGATTTGGTAAGTGTGTTTGATTAAAATTGTAAAACATGAGGATGATAAGGTGTTCCTATTTTTAAATAATATTAATTATAATAAAACTGTCATTTAGAGCATTTTCCCATAAAATTACAATTGTTCAAAATACAAAATGTTTTAGTTTGAACTCAAAAAGTGCACCAAACCAAATATTGATCTCTTAACTCTGAAGTTAAAACAGAACATGCTGTCTAAAATGAACATGAACATGTCTAAAAAAATGACATCTTTTTTGTTTACTTTTATGTTAAAAATGACAACCTTTTAAAGAAATGCCAACATCAACTGGCAGAACTAAAAAATTACTTTTTAATGAAGCACATAATTGAAACTTGTAAATGCAGAGAAACTAAGTGTCCAAGTGGTCTCTTATTTTTTTCCACAGCTGTATATTAATATGGTATCAGATGTATCATTTTGGGTTAAAAAGACAAACATTTCAAACATAATTTAAGACGTTATTTGAGATGTTGATTTGATTTGTTATGCATTTGCTACTTTAATAGCACACTGCCTGAATAAAACATATATAATAATTCAATTAAAACAAAACCAAGACCAACTACATTCTGTTTCAGAGATGCTTCTTCACCTCTTTCTGCTGTCGCTCCAGTTCTTTCATTCTGATCTCACGAGCTTCTGCACGGGCCGCTCTCTTCGCTGCCAAACGGGCTTCAGCCTGCAGGGGGCGAGTGGACAAACAGAGATAGAGAGAGAGAGATAAAGTCATTAAAAATAACTATGAGATCACAAGCATTGTAAAAACAATTGAGGAAGTGGAATCGATATACAAAAAAAGTTTTTACTCTAAGATTAAAAAAGCATTAATTACAGGAGGTTAAAGTGAAATGAAAATACATCAACATGTTTGTGTAACTTCATGTCATACTGTTTTATGTAGTGTAACTGTATACTCTTCAGACTCCACATGCTGTAAATGTGTTTGTTTACAAAAGTACATTTGTGTGTATTTGTGACATTCGTCCACCACACTTTGAAAGTCCTTTTAAGGAAAAGACTCCCTGTAAGACATGAGTGGGAAGGAGTGAGAGAAATAGAGAGAGAGAGAAAAAGAGAGAGAGCAAGAGTGAGCAAGCACACTTCCTTCCTGCAGATGACGCCACAAAATGAGCAACAACTAGAAAAAAAAGAAAATCTAAACTCCAGTATTTCATCACAGACCTCCTCCTATAGAAATATCTGCAAATAAAACCAACCAACCTTTCCTCCCAACCATATACTACAAATAATCTTTACATTAGAACCATGACTGTAACCATGAATGTAATTAAAATAATAGTGTGTGTGATTTTAAATAAAAGATAAGGGTTAAATGTAGTGAAACTACTTACAGAGGGACTAACTATAAGGACAAAGCTTTCAAATAAAATTTTTATCAAAATAATAATGATGTGTTGAGTAAATGTCAGGTTTTAACGTCTCAGACTAAGGCCTTCCATCCTGAACACAGATCGGTAAGCTTCCAGGAAGCAGCTGTTTCTTACCACAAGGTCTTGTGTCCTTCTGCAAACAACGATTTTCAAGAAATACATAGCCAAAATCAATATTTCCACAGCTTTAACTGCATCTTGTAACAGAAAGTGAGTTTTTACATATAGAAAGTTGTTTTTCTATGGGTTGCAAGTGAAGGATGAGGTATAAGTGAAGGATAAGTAAGGTATATTAGGATCTAACACATATGAAAACAAGAAACTGTGACTATGTTAATGTATAAGTGGCTACGATAGTAATGAGGGCAGATGATTGTGTAGATTAACTGCCAGAGACAAGACAAAGCAAACCTCTAGTAATTATGCAGCTGTCCAAACATGTTTATAACAGGTTCTCACTAACGTCAACACACAATTTCCACAAGCACAGCAATGCACCTATGCAGACATGCTGTAAAATAACAGGGTGACATCCAGCAGGGATTTGAGACTGAAAATGCTGAATAATTTTTCATTTGGGGAAAACACTTAGACTAAACAGAGTAATAGAGTTTTCTAAAAACAGTCCAAAATAAATGCACTCTTTAAAACCCCGTGACTAACAGAGTAACCAAAACTATGCCTTTTTTGACCATAGCAGGAAGTCAGAAGGCTGAGTCATTCACAATGAGCCTGGATCACACCCTTCCTGCAGCTTTAACAGAAGCAGCCACTGATCGCACATACGCCTATCACTGCTTGGTCCTGATGTGGGCTGATTTACATGAACTGAAGAGAATCATCCACTATGCTAAAGTCTCGTGTGGAATATGTTACGAAGTGCTTCACAATTCTTAAAAATACCAATAAAACAAGTATGCTTCCAGTGATCTGGAAATCTGAAGTTTGCATCGCTCAGAAAGAAATCATGCCCTACATCCCACCCTGAACTAAAAGAACAAACATATTTGATTGCCCATATTCATATTAAGGCCTACCTTCTTGCAGTTATCAAAGTAGACCATGATATCAGTCACAGTGAGCATATGATAGCCAGGGTCATCCGCATTTCCCCCCATCATGACCATTCGCGCACAGAAGAGGAAAACAAACTGGCCTATTTCACACACCTCTCTCATCTCACTCTCTCCTCAGCAGCTATTTTTAACGACCCAAATGGAGCGGACTCTATCAATAAACCCAAACGCTCTAATTTAACGAAAGTTCTGTGACGCTGCTGTTCTCAAGAGGGAACGAAGGGCCAGTTCTGCAAGAGTTCAAAAAGAAAAGATACTGTTTAATTGCACTAATGGACTATGGTGTACTGTCTAGAAGTTTACTTATCGGTATTTATTTCTATAGTAACTGAAATGGAGATTAAATGACATAAATGTTGATGCGAATGTCTTTTATGGAAGGTAATGTAACATCTGACATTCACATACATGCCAGTATACAAGTACAATATCTATAAATCAACACAATGCCTGGTGTTTGTACTGTATATGTACATTCCAATGTATAATCACTTCACATACAATTTAAAACACAACAGTCAACTTTATCTAGTAAAATAAGTGTAGTTAACTCAAAATTTACAGAATGTTTTTTCTAGTCATTTTAATAGTTTTGAACTTAATTGAACTCAAACTCAACTCACACTTTATTCTTTGCAATAGGGCCGCACGGTATTGGGAAGAAAAAAAATAAATAAATCAAACATTTTGTTATTCTGCAATATATATTAGAATATTGAGTATAATTTTACCAGATTACTTAATATTTCTATTTGGAAAGAATATGTGTTAGATTGATTGAGATGATCCTGTACATAAGTGAATCGTGCATAAATTATAATAAATCTAGTCTACAAGCATATTAACTACAATCAAGAAAAAAAATACAATTAAAATAAACAGTTTTATCGTTTTCTAAGTCTAACAGTATTCCGGTAAGGTAATTGAATGATAATGATGCATTTTATTGAATTGTTTTTATTAAAGCTTTTAATAAATAATTGTATTTTTAAATATATAAAACAAATGCTAATCGTAAATTATAATATAAACTCAACATTACAGATTCTGTGATGTGACTATTGTGAATAAACTCATTGCAATATCGATGCTGACAGGCTATATTGTGCATAGGCATGGGCCGGTATGAGATTCTATTGCTATGATAACCTTGGATAAAAATACCATGGTTTCATGGTATTGTGATTACTGCTTTAAAATATATTCTTTTTAAATGTCTGCGTAAAAAAAAAGAACTTTTTTTTCGATCTGAACACAATGGCTGCATCCGAAATTGCATACTTTCATATTATATAGGACGCTGAAATCATTTTGCGAGCTGAGTAGTATGTCCAAATTCATAGAATTCAAAATTTAGTACCCGGATGACCTACTACTTCCAGCGAGATTTTGAAGTGAGTATCCGATAGAGGCTTTGCTTTCCCATGATACACCATGAGAGAATTCATAAATGGGAGTGAAACGGGTGTTTCACATGATGATGACAAAATGGAATCTGTATACCTCCGAGGCCAAGCTCCATTCATTTTACTCACATTCATAGTGTATAGAACTGTTTGATTGGTCGAGTAGTAAATTCAAATGCAGTACCTACTGAGTAAGAGGTGATTTTGGATGCAGCCAATATATTTTAGGTTGAGAAACATTTTAAATATTTTGGAACGGTAAACATATTGGACAAAATAATGCAAATGAATCATTGACTTCTGCTGTCTTAATTAGTTTCAAAAACACAGATTTCTTTACAATTTAAAATGTTTGCATATCTTTTCTGCTGGAGATACTGTTGTCCTAAAAAACAAAAATGTAAAAAAAAAATCTTTACATATACCCTAGGAACGGTAGAGCAGAAAAATTTGGTGGTTTTAAAACCTTGACTTTTCCAAGCCGCGGTATACCTTAAAAACGATTATCATCCCATGCTGAATTTTGCAGCCCTACTCTGCATTATGTGTATGTGATAGCAAACTTTCTGGAATTTTCTGTGTGGACACATCACACACACAATTATGAAAGAAACTGTATAGAATAGTGAATTAAACATGCATTGGGATGAACATAGTCTTTTAATATCCACAAAATGACATGGCTATTTTATGGCAAGCATGAAACTTGAATAAAAATGTTAAAAAGTCTTACAACTGGATCAACGCCATTAGCCTAACATAGACAACTGTGACAATATGCTGTGTCTGCAATGAGTGCTAGTAATAAGATCATCCCTATAACTCTTGGTTCAACCAACAAAGTTAAAGTCCAAATAAAATTTTAGAAATCTGTAAGATAGCTGAAAAGTTGGAATTCAAAGATTACTGTCGACAGGTTTACTAAAACCCTTCATTTGATCCCTTTTAAGGAAGACATCCAGGACATGCCTGCCATTCAGAAGTCCCTGTGTGCTTGATGAATGCCAGTCAAGACTTCTTATCTGTTGACATAAATACCACAGAGGAGATGCCAAGCTCGCCAGATCTCTCTCTCCCACGGCCTTTTGTACCAGCAGCATGGCAGGCTAAGCGGGTACATGCTAATCAGCTGGACTGCTAATAGACTATAGCTGTAACTAAAGAAGAAAACGAAAAGAAAAGTAGAAGTAGAAATGCAACACAAATGACCAGCAGTAAACCACTGCTCTCTGATCAGGAGATTTTTGGACAGTTACCCTGACAAAGATTAATATTGCATAAAAATAGGCATTATTAATTCTAAAACTATGACTTACATAAACTAAATGAGCTCCTGGCCAGTTTAAGCCATCTTAATGTGGAAAGCTAAATATTCAAAGTGTGTATCACTTTACCACCTGTCTAAACTGGATTAACAGTTTTCAGTATGAGACATAAACAGTTTTTTCACTTGAGTACTAACGTAAGAGCCGGAGACTGGAACATATGAGATCACTGGAGGTGTCTGCCACATTTCTGCTCTGCCCATATAAACACCTACATAAATTGTGCCAGCCTGCCATGTCAAACAGAATGCAAACAATGTCTGATCTGTGTGTACTGTCTCCATATTTTAGCAGGTTACTGGGTTCTGCAGAAGAAAAAAAACTTTCTAAAAAAAAAAAAAAAAAAAAAATATATATATATATATATATATATATATATATATATATATATATATATATATATATATATATATATATATAACTAAATGAAGATGGGCTAAAATCTTTAAAAAATGTATTTGATAACATTAATTTGGGTCAT